TGTATATCTCGGAATTTTGATATCGATGACCTAAGGTCAGGACAATTTTGCGACCTCCCCATTATAAGTCAATGGGAGAAAATTGAAATGCGCCTCTTTTGGACGAAAGACATTATAAACACTCCCAAACACTGAATTACAAGTGGTTTAGACACACTGAACATGGAAATGGTGTCCGTGACCCTTGTTTATGCCCTGAGGTCATCTTAGGTCACGAATGGTATCTAACAGTTTTTCGCAAATAACTTTTGATAGAGGCATGCTAGAGCGATGAAAACGCCTTATATGTGTTCAGCTCGACGATACAGATCGACTGATATGCAACATGACCATTTCCGGTCAGGTCATGACCTTGACCTGAGGCCAAATTTTCAAGTTGACCTTTCAAGGTCAAGTTATAGTTCATTCGATGCGTCTTGACGAGAGGAACACGATGCCGGTAAATGTAAGCTCGTACAAGGCTTGGGTCAAAAGTTATTGCAGAAAAACTGTTTCCGAAAAAATCGGTTATTTTTGCAGTTTTTGCCCCCTGCAGGCAAAACCGTTGACGTTAGGTCAATTCTGAGAGAATTACTCAGAAAGGGCGTTAATAGGGCTATCGAATGCGCTTTTCCGCGGCGCTGTAGCTCTATTGGTTCCCGAGTTATGCGTTGGCTTCTTGGAAATTGTCGACATTCGACCTGGAAATCGGCGAAATTTTGCCTTCAATGACCTCTGGTGACCTGACCTTTGACCTGACCAAAAAATTGACCAAAGTGATTTGCTCATTATTTTTGACGCTCTGTCGAACGCCGCCTTTCGCGTATCGCTACGTGGCCCAGGAGCCGAGTTAGAAGGGGGGGTGTTCAAACACCCCCCAGCAAGGCGTGGCAATCCAGGACCCCCAGCCGGGCGCGGGTTAATGAGAGCAACAGTATGTACAACATGCATATCTCGGAATTTTGATATCTGTCACCTTGTCAGGTCAATTTTGCGACCTCTCCATTATAAGTCACTGGGAGAAAATTGAAAAGCGCCTCTTTTGCACGAATGGTGTTCAAAACCCTCTCAAACCCTCGGTCCATGGGTAAAAATAACACACTAAATCGGAAAAATGCACCTGTGAACCCTCTGTGTGCCCCTGGGCCTGAGGTCACTAAGGTTATGAACGGCTACCAGCACATTTTTGGCTATAACTTTTGATAGAAACATGCTAGAGCAACAAAAACACGTCAGATGTATTCAGCTTGATGATACGGACCAACTGATATGCAACAAAACCATTTCAGGTCAGGTCATGACCTGGACCTGAGGTCAAATTTTCAAAACGACCTTTCAAGGTCAATTAATAGTTCATTTGCCACGTCTTGACGCGTGGAACACGATGCTGCACACTGCACAGTATATGCACAGTATATAGAGGGCTAGTGTTGGGTAGGTAGCGCTTTCATACAAGCTTGTCATTACCGGTATTAGTATATACTAGGTCAGAGTGGACAATTGCGACTCTGTTGATACATATATGTAACAGTAAAAAACTTAGGTTTTAGGTTAGGTTGTAGGTTTGTAGGTTTTAGGTTTTAGGTTGGTAGGTTTGTAGGTTTTAGGTTGTTAGGTTGTAGGTTTTTTGGTTTTTTGTAGGTTGTAGGTTGGTAGGTTGTAGGTAAATAGGTAACCTAATTGCTAAAAGGTTAGGTCACGTTTGATTGTGTTTTTTCTTTTATTTCCAAGACATATAAGTATCATTTTTGGATTCAGGATGTCAAATAATGTAAGAATATGAAAACTTTAGCTTTCAACAGTCACTCGGACTCAATGTACCGTCATTCGGGGTGACTTTGTAAGACTTTTGCTATTTTCTTCAATGCAGGGGAGATCTGAAAAGATATTTTGAACCAGGGTTTGTTCTAAGATACCAAATGGGGAATTCTGTGCATGATGGTGTATATCTGAATATTTAAAATCACTCCCTTATGTTTTATTTTTTTGGTTAAAAAATTATCATTGTCACACCAAGGTCGGGGTGACTATGATACCCCTCATTATTTGCATTGTAAATGAGTTGACTGGTCAAACAAGCACAGCAATGGGGGTGTCTATGATAGGTCTGTTTGTTTTAAAAAAAGTATTTTGCACCAATGCAAACTTGATGGCTTTTTTCTTCAAAACATAAAGTGATCACAATTCACCCACTTTCGGACGCATGTGGTCACAAAACACTTAAAAATAACACTTTAAAAATGTCAAACTGTAACTTTTGTGGGCAAGCACAACTGGCAAGGAGCCAAACATGTCAAAAATGGTCACATCTTCACATCTTGTGTGGTTTTCCTTCTCACCAGGTACAATCACAGTACTCTTCCACGACTGCGGTAGCATCGTTCATTTCACTTTGAATGCATGACACATGGTACCGTAAACTGGGGTGACAATGATACCCGGGGTGACTTTGATCATAGACCAATTTTGGGCCTCAAATGAGCAATTAGCTGCTGTGAACTGTATTTTCTATGCCAATAGTTAAATAAAGCAATGAAGCATTATATCAAACACTTTGGGTCCCAGTTAGAATAATCATGTTCATGTCACAGCTTGCTTTTTTGTTGTCATTGGCATGAAGTATAAATTCGCTAGCATCTCCAGCAAAAATAATGGTAAAGATGAGAAAGACCCAGATAAAGAAAGAGAAAGGAGAGGCTTAGATACTGATGATGGAGGATGAGCATTGAGCTGCTCTATCTCAGTGGTAATTGGAGCGTCAATGGGAAGTGAAAAAGACAATCAGCTGGGAGGGGCATGAACAGTGTGGCAAGTGGTCCCACAGCCACCAGCAGACAAAGTGTGATGTAGAACAGGTAGCCTCTGGCTTAGGACATCTGTGACTGTTACTTAATCTTGAAGTCAGAGGTTAAAGTAGCTAATTTTGCTGCTTATAGCTCTGTAATGTCAGTTTAGACCCAGAGCATGCAACTTTATTTTAATACCTCAATGATTCATAGTTTTACTGTAAAATGTGTGAGTTTTTGTCAAGCAAAGCCTTTGATTTTATTCAAAACATGTAATTTTATCACACAAGCCCCTTCTGAGGGCTCCTATGGCACAAATAAGGTGATTTTAATGTAGTGATCATAGTCACCCCGACGTCTGGGTGAGAATGATCAATTTTTTGGTAAAAAAATAAAATATTTATGATCAATTTCAAGGCATTTATTGTACTCAGTTAGATAGAGAATTGTCCAATTGGTATGATGAAACAGTTTCCAGAGTGAAATCTCAAGTGATATACAAGATATTGTACCAAACTGGTCAAAAGTGATACAAAGTCACCCCGGTTTACGGTACCATTTCTGGCAGTTTTCACACCTTTCCCACTTGATGTTCTTGTCCCCTGTGGCTCCAGGGGGGTTCCACCTCTCACAGATACTACACTTTTCCTCCTCCCCTGAGTCTGGCTCCTCTGCTGACTCGTTTTCTTTGTCTTGCTCAGCGAAGCTTCGCTTCTTTGGTTTTGTCCCTTGCTTTGTCCTTTTCTTGTGTCCCAGACCCTGATGGCTTGAGGTGCTGTGCCTGTACTGCCATCCCTGCAAGAGCAGAGATCCTTTGCCCCCTTTTCCTGTGGTTCTGTGGTTTTCCTGTGGGCTATCATAGTCACCCGGTCCCGGGGCATTATCATAGTCACTCCGACGATCTAAGTCACCCCGAATAACGGTATACTTTTACCAAAAATATTATTAAGCAGCCAGGTGTAGGTCATAACTATGAGCCATGCAGTTTCAGCGTTAACTCCGGAATCTGAGTCGGTAAGATTTTAACGACTCAAACTTGAAATCAGACTCCAACTCCGGACAAAACTGTCGACTCAGAGTTCCGACCGACTCCGACTTCCGAGTCTCCGACCGCCGAAGCCCTGCTTCAAACGACCAAACACCAGCACAAACAATCAAACTGATTATTGAATCTCAGTGCCCTGAATCTCAAACACCACCATGAGGAAAAATAATGCATAATATATCGGTGGAAACTGTCACCTGCCGGCTATTTGTCGCGCTGTAAATAATTGAATTCCAAATCAAAGTCAAGTGCTGTTCGTTTGCAATTTTCTTTTTAACAGCTTGTTGGAAAACCTAGGCTTTTGATTGGTGAAATTTGCGTCGTCATACTAATCACCAATGAAATGCCGAGATATGCTGGCAATAGTTTATCAATAGTTTCCATATATGGCAAAAGCGCCAGACTAGTTTCGAACCACTTTTCAAACTGAACACTAAAGAATAAAGCTTGGAATAAAGCATGGCCGCTCAAAAATTGTTGTACGTCATCTAAAAAATATCTTTAAATGACGTACTTGGGCTTGAACAGTTGGAATAGCTCAAGGGCCCTGTTTCACCGGTGATAGCAGCAAGCTACTATCAAATTGCGCGAGCTGACGTAATGTGATGACGTCATACTGCTGACGTAAGGGGCAATTCTGGCGCACGATTGCCGCAATATTGTTTTACGTCATCAACTAAATGTTCGAAGTTTACGTCCAAATTTTCCTTGAACCCAACTTATTTTAAATACATTATATTAAGAAATATATATATTAAAAATAAATATACTATCATGACTGCGTAAACTCTTACTTTTAGAGGCTCATACGTCACTTAGTGCCGCGGCCAAGGTCGCGGCAATCGTGCGCCAGAACTGCCCATTACGTCAACAGTATGGCGTCATGAGATGACGTCAGCTCGCGAAACGTGATAGCAGCGTGCTGCTATCACCGGTGAAACAGGGCCAAGGAATAGCTTTGGGAATAGCACTGTTTTCAATTAAATGCAGCACTTGTAAAAGCTAGACCTTACCTTACCTTACCTTAATATGATCGGAATTTTGAGGCCACTTGGCCTGTAGGGAACCGCTCTCATCGAGCTCGTATCAGGTGGGACCTTTCTAACTCCTATCAGGTATCAGGTACCTGATGTTTGCCCAGTGGGCGTCCAGTCTTGATTTGAATTGATCAACTGAGGCAGCGCCGACGACCGTTGGGGGTAAACTGTTCCAGTCATTGACGACCCTCACGCTAAACGATTGTCTTCTTGGCCTGGTTTCCGCTCTGGGCTTCTGGACTTTCATCGAGTGGCCTCGGGTACGATTGTCAGTGGCAGCCGCAAAGAAATCCTCAGGAGACAGGTCGACCCCTCCATGAAACAGCTGATACTTGATTTGAATTGATCTGACACTGGCATCAAATTCTATGTAAATGCAGCTTTTTATGAATTAAGCTTCAACATTTTGAATTTGATTTGTCTTTAATTAAAGAAGTCCAAGGGTCTGTTATATCATAGTCATCTGTTCTTGAGATATTTACACAAGTTTTTTATTGCTTACTAGTCTTATAAAAAAGTCTTGTAAGACAAAACAGTCAAAATAGTTGATTATAATTTGTAACTTGGAACTTTACCTAGACCCAGTGGCGCAGCCAGAACTCTGGCGACGGGGGTGAGAGACGTTCGTGATGGGCCCCCCAGCAAATTGGGCCCCCCTCAACCAAATGGGGGCACTTAGCAACAACGAAAACGGTCGCTTTTTGCCGAGTATTTTTGGAAAATCGAAAATCATAAAACCAGAGATAATCATAAAACCATGATAATCAATCAAAATCAAAAATCATAAAACCATTTGAATAATTGTTGAATATGAATTTCTCATTTTAAACTTTGTTAACACTTTTTTTTTCTAAATTTAGTCCGAACCTTTTGATAGGAAGGATTTGCAAGGACAGAGCCACCGCTAAGCGAAGCTTGTTGCGGTGACCCTGCCCTCTACCCTCTGATCGCGCAATTCCAGTTCTATGGCAGAATTTAGAGTCCAAAGTTTAACGTGCGCACATAGCCGCGCACGGCCGGTCCCCTCACTGACTTCGCCTGGTTACGGCCTGCCACCAACCGCAACCATACCTGTCAGGAGGCCCATAAATTCAAGCGCCCGTCGCGCTTCGAACCCGGATTGTTTTAACCGGGAACGCGTGCTCTCACCACGCGGAGTCCAACGCTCTACCAACTGAGCTACGGGACCGGCTACGGGACCACTCTGATCTGTGGTAAGGTTAGATCTTTGTCCTCTTCATTAGGTACCAGCCAAATCGGGGAAAAGGACAAATATCTCTTGATCTGATGAGGCACGTAAAAACAACAGCATATTTACAGAAACACGATCATTCTGCCCATATTTGATGGACAGCGTTCAATTGATGGTCAGCGGCCACTCAAAGGGTCGGGCTAGGTCAAAAAGCCTTTAAAAAAGCTCAACATCAGTTTTTCGACTATAACTTTTGATATTAGGAGACGAGGTAGAGTCATGACATTGTCTTGAAGGTAGCTCATTCGATGCATGTTAGCGAGAGAATGATGACAAAGTATATGTCTCATAGTTTTTCTCATCAAAAGTTCTTGCAAAAGTGCTTAGCAAAACTGTTTTGGTAAAATGCGACTATTTAGATGGTTTTGCCCTCTGCTCTGTTGCGAAACCATTGACATAAGCGTTTTGAAAGACCTATCGAATGAGTTGTTCCGCGAAGCTCTGGCTCTTTGGTTCACGAATTATAGGTACGGTTATTTGTGAAAAAATAAAAAATAAAGAGTTTTTTCGTCGTAATCTTGTCTTTGTTTTTATCATAATTTTATCATAATTTCATCTTCAATGACCTCAGCGATGACCTAATCGAAAAATGACCTCTACGATTCTGAAGCATCCTACAGCTCTCCGTTGCTTTTCTCGTCTTTCTAGCCTTCTTAACCCTCGCCGGCCGAGGGGGGGGGGGGCGGGTGCCGCCCCCCCCCCATAGGGTTTTTTCGCGATAGCTCCGAACACGCTGGGGATAGAGAGCTGAAACTTGGCATACCTGACCTTTGATCCAAGCCGGATCTTTTGACACCGACCGCATTTTTGGGTCAGGTCAGGTCACTGACCTATGACGTCATAAGTGAACCTCTGCACGGTCTTCAGATGTCGCAACTTCGCAACGCCCTCACTGCCAGAGGAGATGTCACAGGGAAATGAAACTTGCAGGATCTAGTATCCATTATGAGTCCCACAACTTGTATATCTCGGATTTTTCCTAAAGGTCATATGAGGTCAGGTCATTTTCGTGACCTCACCATTATAAGTCAATGGGTAAAAATGAAAACTGCTATTCTGGCGCCGGGAACGATCTCCAACTATCTCAAACACACAGAATCGTGATTTGATGCACTCCTTGCAAGGTTAGATGCGTCACTTTTGCAATGTTGACCTTGCGTGACGTCATTTATGACGTCATCAAGGTCATATTAGTTTTTCGTCAATAACTCTTGATCAAATTAAGCTAGCGAGTCGAGAAAGCCACCAATGGACTCAGGAAGACCTGCCGAATCGAATGATATGCGACATGACCTCTTTCGACCAACTTCGTGACCTGGGGGTGCTGACCTGACCTTGACCTGAGGTCAACACCCCAAGTTGACCTGACCCGGACAAAAAGTATATCATTCGACGCGCCTGAGCGAGACGAACACGATGCTGCCAAAATCGGCGCTCTGCGGCCGTTTTTTGCGAAGTTATTCATCAAAAACTGAACCGTACCTTGGGGCACTTGACCTGACCTCAGAAGTCACCGGTTGACCTAGGACCTTAAAATCGGGTACCAATCTCTGCGTCTCGTAACGGCGCACACGCTCGTTTTTTCCACGACGCGCTAGCTCCACCAGGGGCGAAACGGCGAGGGGGGGTCGTACCCGCCCCCCTCCCCCCCTCGGCCGGCGCGTATGTAGAAAACCAATAGGTCCGGCGAGGGTTAAAGTATGATCGGGTTTGACCGATACGCCCCCCCCCCATGGCTGATTGCGCACGTTAGAGAACTATCGAACCCATGCTTTCAGCGCCCTATAGCTTTATATGTCCTCGAGTGTCGAAATAGGCGAAACTTTTCCTTCGATGAACATGACGACGTGGGCTTTGGTCTGAACTGCAACATGACTGAAGTAATTTCTCCACGATTTTCGACGCTCTTTAGAAAGCCGCCTACCGCCGCACTTGTCGCTACGTGACCCTGGAGTCAGGTTAGAAGGGAATATTCAAACACCCCTCAGGGGCGTAAAACTGGAAAGCCTGGGGCCCTGCTCTGCGGGGCGCGGCCAAGCTAGGCTAGGACCAGTTTGGGACATTTACAAGCCCACGTAAAGCCCTCAAGAATCTGCATAGAGCACAGGCCTTCCAAGTCTTGGGGGTTTAGATATCGACAATCGACATGGTCTTTTGAGATCTGCGTGGTGGCTATCAGAGGCCGGTGGGCCCCTCAAAAGCCGGTGCAGGAGCCTCAGGTGTCAGTTTGGAGCCATCATGGACCGGTGTGGGGTCCTGATGAATACCTAGGCGTCAAACCCCTAGACGTCGGGGTGGGGCCGGGCGGTGAGGCAGGCACAGGCCTGAAGAGAATAGGAGTTTTCAGATGTCGGCTTGGCATCTTAATTAAGGGCCCTGCATGGCTTTCTTAGAGGCTGAAATATCGTACTGCGGGACCTCCATGAGCCTCAAAAACCTCTATGGGCCCCCTTACGCTTGGGGTAGGCTTCCTGAAGCATAAAATCTCTCAGTCTTGAGATTGGCCAATGGCCCATTAGACATGAACTGGGCCATCAATATACATGTGGTGAGTTTACCCATATCAAACATGATATCGGCTCGATCAGGATTGGGATAGGCCCTCTCAGACCCAGACCAGGCACGGAGTACGGACCCTGCCACACATAGGATGATCCTTTCATTCCTGGGATGAGTCTTCTCAGGCCTGAACTGGGCCCCTCAGACCTAAAATGGGCCCCTCTCAGGCCTGAAGTGGACCCTCTCAGGCCTCAAATAGGTCCTCTAGGGCCTGAAATGGGCCCTCTCAGGCTTGACTTGGCCCTCTCAGACCTGAAATGGGCCCCTCTCAGACCTCAAATAGGTCCTCTAGGGCCTGAAATGGGCCCTCTCAGGCCTGACATTAGCCCTCTCAGACCTGAAATGGGCACCCTCAGCCCGGAAATGGTCCCTATCATGTCGAAAAAGGGCCCCCTCATACCGTAACTGGGCCCTCTCAGGTCTGAAATGGTGCCTCTTATGCCTGAAATGGGCCCCTCTCTGGCCTCAAACGGGCCCTCCCTGGCCTCAAACAGGCCCTCTAGGGCATGAAATGGGCCCTCTCAAGCTTGAACTGGGCCCCCTCAGGCCTGAAATGGGCCCCTCTCAGGCCTGAAATGGGCTCCTGTCAGGCCTGAAATGGGCCCCTTCAGGCCTGAAATGGGCCCTCTAAGGCCTGAAATGGGCCCCTCTCAGGCCTCGAACAGGCCCTCTAGGGCCTGAAATGGGCCCTCTCAAACTTCAAATGGGCCCCTTCAGGCCTGAAATGGGCCCTCACAGACCTGAAATGGGCCCTCTCAGGCCTGAAATGGCCCTCTCATGCCATGGAATGGGCCCTCCTAGGCCTTGGATTAGTTCAATCGGGCCTTGGATGTACCCTCTTAAATCATAAAATGGGACTTTAATTCCTAAAGGGGGGCTATCAGGCCTGAAAACTGTTTTTCAGTCCTATGACGGACCTTGACATTATGATACAAAATTGTCAGGCTGCATAACGACGAATCGACGGTGGGCCCCTAGGATAAGAGAGGGGGGTGAGATCTCACCCCTTTCACCCCCCCTGGCTGCGCCACTGCCTAGACCTACTCTAACCCACAGGCTACATTCTACCAACAAAATAATCACGGCTTCAACTTCCATCACACAACCTACGGTATTAGTAGAGCAGACATTGCACGAAGGTTTTCCAACCAAGGAGAGGCGCCATACCCAGTGGTGCTTCTTTCTAGGAAAACCTAAGCAAACCTAACCTAACCTACAACCTATAACCTAAAAACCTACAACCTACAACCTACAAACCTACCCTTACCGGTTCAACTCACCTGGTAGGTTTCCCGCCTCAGCCATATGAATTGGACAGGTAGATGGACGGAAGTGAAAGGGAAACCCATTTTGGATAGAGGCGCGCTGGCTCAATACATAAATATATGTCATTTGTTTCAAATTGTTTGTGAGCCGGAGGTGCGCGTCTGCAATACAGATGTGCTTTTGTATTCACATTGTTCTAAAGCTGGCCTAACTTTACCTAGACCTACTAACCCACCCACAGGCTACATTCTACCAAAAAAATAATCACCTTCAACTTCCATCACACAACCTACGGTATTAGTAGAGCAGACCTTACAACCTACAAACCTACAGTGCCTCTCCTCGGCTTGAAAACCTTTGTGTGATGTCTGCTCTACCTACTAATGCCCAACCTACAACCTACCAATATACCTACCAGACTGAAAAAATACAGGTAATGCTGAATATGTCTGACATAGTGGCAGGCAGGATTGTCATTGTGCCAAAAAATTCAGTGCGTGTCCAGCGCTACTTCACATGCACTGAATTCAGTGTGTGGTGGCTGTGGAATTTTTCGGCGCCATGCACTTCAAAAATTATGTGTAAGCATTATTTTTCGGCGAATGGCGGTCATCAAATTTTTTGACATGCTGGCCAACCTAGCAGCAGATACGCCCTGCGGGCGGCTCAAGAGAGGGTTTGTGACAAGCCGTTCCCCCCCCCCCCCCCTGTCGCGTGCTCAGACTCGCGAGCCTCCTAGAGTCTACTGAGCGGAGGAGCGGCCGCCCTGGTGAGTCCTTCACCTTCGGATTGCAGTTATGTATGGAAGACTTTGTTGATCATTGCCGAGCGTCGCGAAGTAATCCTGCAGTGGGTCCCTGCCCACTGCGGGACTGAGGGAATGAGAGCGCGGACGACCCGGCGAAACAAGCGGCCGCCCTGCCCTTAAACGCCCGCTCGCTGACCCGGGCGGCTCATTATGCGGCCTCGCGTCAGTAGCGCGACAGCTGGTCATAGTCACTATTCAAGCCACTCTTCGGGAGCACGCTGCCGCTCTCCATCTCCGCTGAGGACCTAGAGGACGCCATTTCGGTGCCCCAGATGAGGGCGGGCCACTGGGGCCGCTCGCTTCAGTACCTGCACCGAATCGGCCGTCTCCCCTCCGCGGCGTGCCAGCAGTGCCCGGATAAATGGTGCCCCCGCGGCGCGCTGTGCCGTGTGCTAAGAAGAGGCTGATGTGCCGGAGCACGTGCTGCTCTGCTGCGCGGCCCTCGCTGGCGCTCGCCAGTCTCGATCACACCGCTCCGCTGATTTTTGAGGTCCCGGAATTTCCGGCTCAGGCCTTGTTTCACGGTACGACGCTGCAGTGCGCTGCGCGTACCTATTGTGATATTGGGTTTTCATGGGAACATCAGCTTATTGGGACGCTCAAACGTTGGAGAGCGTCCAAGGCCCCGGAACGCTCCGTATGGCCTTACAGACTGGCCTTACAAACAGCACCACTGGAACCATCCGTGTGGCTGGCGATATGTCGATGACACATTCGTCCTGTGGGACCATACTGAGGACACAACACCGCTCCTGGATCACATCAACAGCCTCCGACCCTCCATTCGATTCACAGTGGAAACAGAAGTCGACAACAAACTGCCATTCCTGGACGTCCAAGTGGAGAAAGCTGAGGAAGCATTCAGAACATTGGTCTACCGCAAACCAACTGCGACCGACCGCTACCTCAACTTCAGGTCTCACCACCCGGACACAGTCAAGAAGGGTATCGTCAGATGCCTACAGACACGAGCCACCAACATCAGTGGAGACGAAGAAACCAGAAAAACAGAAATGTCATGCCTGACCAACACCTTCAGGAGAAACGGATACCCAACAAGCTTCGTGACGCACAAGCCCAAGGAAGCATCCCAACAACCACGGGATGAGCCAATCACGACAGTGTCCCTCCTATACAACAGAGGACTGTCGGAGAAGCTGAGGAGATTTTGCGGAGCGTACAACCTCAGGACGGTATTCAGAAGTATCACCACTCTCCGCAGGTCTCTGACAAAGGTCAGACCACCAACCACCAAGGAACAAACAAAGAACTGCATATACGACATCCCGTGCAGCTGCGGCAGGTCATATAAGGGCGAGACTGGCCGCCCACTGGCGGTCAGGCTCGAAGAACACAGGAAGGCAACCATCCGAGGCGAAACACTGAAATCCGGTGTGGCGGAGCATGCCTGGTCCGAAGGAGATCACAGACCTGCATGGGAAGATACCACTATAATCGACAAGGAGCCACACTGGAAAATCAGAAAGATCAAGGAAGCCGCACACATGGCGCTGGCAAGCAACCCCATCAGCAAGCCAAGCGTTGACATCAGTCCAATATGGCTCCCACTACGAAGGAAATCACAAAACATCCGGGGGGATAAGTAACACCAAGCTCCCAGCTCTATAGCGATGTCTGCCTCTATAGTGGAGTGGGTAGAACCGTGGCCTATCACCGGGGAAATCTGAGTTTGATTCCCGCTGACCACAGGAACTTTTGAAAGGTATGACGCGTACGGCGCAACGCCATCAACACCCAGGTCCTTCTAAGGGCCAAAGAACACCTGACCTGACGACGTCCGGAGAAGTAACTGGCCTAAACGTTGTGAATTTAACTTCTCAACTCAAGACGGGGGCGAAAGTCCGACAACTAATATCCGTGTTAGTGTGTGGATGTTTTCCAGTCTGGCCAATGTGCAACCTGCACAGAAATTCATGTGTAAATATCAATAACTGGTGAAATTAGTGACTTCACAGATGGGTGGCAGCACTATGTACACCTGCTATAAGATTACCCTAATGTTGGCTTTATGTGCATAATTCTGTTTCAGCTTGTTCCTGGCTGGCATCATTAGTTTTGAGCTGATCTGGTAAGCCAGATAGCGTGTTTTGCTTTCTTATTCCAAGAAGCAGTTACCTTAACAACATCATTATCAGTCACAGTTCACCTCAGCACTTGAATTTTTCCTGCCCATCACAATGAAGGTGATCACTGGTTCACCGCTGCTGAAGCTAGTGGCGGCGGTGTTTGTGGTGCTTGCCTTTTGGCTGATGATCAAGTACATGACATGGGAGGAGGATACCATGGCACTGCCAGACACCTTTGTACGACCCATCATACCCGCTGTCCCTGAGGATGATGAGGGCATCGAGGTGAGTCCGTGGTTTTAGTTTATGGGGTCGGATGAAACTTGAATAGCTGAGGAAATGTGCCGTCTCTGATAAGTGTTTTCCAGAGCATACCTTATGCCTGCAGAAGCTGCATGCTGGCCACAGGTGTCCACCATCAGGCATTCTTTCATGCCATCAGCTACCTTACCTAGGGGAGAGTGGGGTAATTTGGTCGCTTTTTTAGAAAACGATGTAACTAAAAATCGACAACACATTTTGGAATTTTCTCAACGCTGACAGGTGTGGCATACATTTTACTTTCCTGGACAGTAAACTTGAAATGATAGAGTAACTTCTTATATTGAAATTGTGACGCTTTACAAAGGTCTGCAAAGCGGCCAAATTGCCCCACTAGCAGGGTTATTTGGCCGGGGGTGTGGGGCAATTTGGCCGGTGTTAGTTTGAGGCCATGATTTTTGTTATAGGCGAGTCAGCTTCACATTCAGCAATGACGCGTGTCCTACGACGCATTTGAAGCATTTTGGAGGCTGACTCAGCCGTCACAGGGGTCGAAAATAGTCAAAATAGCGGCTCTGGATGCGATGACAGTTTTTTACGAATAGCTTTTGAAGTAATCAAGCTAGGCCAAAACTAAAAGTACCATCGTAATTCTCTCGTCATTCCGCATCGAAACATGTATGTGTTGACCTCGAGAGGTCAAGGTCAAAGGTTTGCTTCAGGTCAAGTTATCTCAGGTCGCTTGACCTCAAGGTTGCGTGAGTTCAAGGTCATCATGTATATCATTCGATGCGCATTGACGAGCTGAACACAATGAGACCATTTGCGCGGCTGTATCTTTTTTCTGTAAGTATTTATTAGCAAAAAGCGTTAGGTAACCTTTGATGACGTCACATGCCCTTACAGCCGTCCAATAGGAAATATGACATCAAGGTAGTCAAAGTTGGTCATGAATTATGTCCTTTATGGTATAATTGACCATGACAACTCGGCCGTCCCAGCATAGTGACTCTGAGCGCACCGGCCAAGTTGCCCCGCTAGTCCCGGCCAAATAACCCCACATTGCCATTCTGAAAATTTTTGTCTATAAAGTCGTCATGGCTGTACAGAACTAGATGAAATTGCGCTTGGAACCGCTGAACACGCTCAAGAATGGCGCTATAATATTGGAATTCGTTTACAGCCGAAATACTACATTTTATACAAATTTTTAAACGGAAGTGAAAGTTACCATTTTCTAACGAAATTCACGTTTTATTAATTTTGAATAAAACTAAGAACGGGAAAGTTTTGATATTTGTTCTCGAGTAAGTTCTGCCGGTGACAAATGAATAGAGACTAAAGTTATTTCATTCAGTTTTATCAGCTTTCGTACAGGTGGGGGCGGCCAATTTACACCACCGGCCAAATTACCCCACTCTCCCCTACTAATCTTGGACCAATGCACACATTACCATTTGGCAGAGGACTGGCCACCCAGTGCAGGTGGAGGTGTTCTACGAAGCCCTGTGTCCGGACAGTATGAACTACATCGTGGACCAGCTAGCGCCAGCCGTCGCTAAGCTGCCTGTTGATGCGCTCAACGTCATCTTGGTGCCTTACGGAAAAGCCAAGGTGCGTTTCTTGCCGTCTCTCTGCTGTAGAGTTAGCAGTGTGCCACCCTCCTACATTGGCTTTCTCCGGCAGGATAGGTTCAGACTATTTTGGCATTGTCATGAACAACTATTCGGTGCAATGGCACTGCTACGCAGGGGTGTCGATTTTTCAAAATGGTTGGGGGTGCTCAACCCCTGCCCCGGGTGACAGATTGCAGCTTTGCCATGCGGCACAACCGTACAAGGCGGGGTTGGTTATCCCCATAAGGTACTGATAATGCCGGGATTTCTATATACTAACATTTCCCAAGGGCAGAACGTTCTTCTTGAAAATCATTCTGCTCGTCCTAGTACTTGGCTACCTGATTACATAAACATCTTTCCGAAAAAAATATATTTGCCGGCAGCATGGCAGCAGCCCCGACACCTCTGTAATAAGGTGACAGAAACCAATGACGGTGATTAGCACCGGTGCAGCAGCCGCTGCGGTCCGCAGGGGCGGACATTGCGCGGAGGCAACGGTAGCTACGAGGCTCTGGCGGTAATCAGACGATCCCAATATCGATGAAAAATGACAGGTGATCGCATTTGGATATTTACGGGTTTACGATTTTCCCCAGTGGCGTAGCCAGGTGGGCCGTGAGGCACGTCCCCCCCCCCCCCCATCAGGTTCGGGCCTCAGGGTCCCCTCGGGTTATTCGGGCCTGAGGGGCCCTGAGGCGCCAATTGGCCGCTAAGGGTCAATGCTGGCCATATTTGGACATAGGAGGGATCCACGGGGCTCGTAAAAACCCCTCATGGGCCCACAAGTACCAACACTAAGATCTCCACAAGGGCCCCAAGCCAGTCTCTGAGGGCCACTTGGTGGCCTCTGAGGGCCCCTTACCGGCTTCGGAGGGCCACATGTCGGACTATGGGGGTCTTAACCGGCCTATTCCCAGCCAGCAAATTTGGTCCTGGCCGTAGCTGGTCTTACTCTGGCTAGCTCCGGCATTTGCTCCGGCTAAAGTACGGGCAAGGTCTGGGGCTCTACTGGAGCTGACACACGATACCGGAGCTCGCCCGCATCACAGCCGGACTTATGCCGCATCAGCCGTGCCGTATGTACCTCCACCGTACTTCAGCAACAGTAAGCCAGAGCAGCTATGAGGTGCAGCCGGACCTGGTCGTAGGGAGCCGGACTTGAGCCATGGCAGGGAGTCTGACTTGAGCCAGACTTGGCGGTTCGGAACCATAACAACCCGGGAGCGCTACGGCATATACTGGCTAGCCGGAATAGAGCCGTATCGACCCAAACCCCGGATCTGACGGCGATACCCTCGTCAGTTACCAGCGACCCTGACGGTCCCACACAGGTGACTCGGAGGGTCACAGCGGCGTCTGAGAGCACCATGTCCGGTCTCTGAGAACCCCACAAGGCTCCTGAAGGCACCGGTGACCTCTTGATATCTTCTTGTCGGCCTATGAAGGGTCCGTTCCGTAACAGCAGTTCTGAGGGCCACACGCGCGCCTGTGATGGCCCTAAACCAGTGTCTCTGAGAGCCCCCACAACGGCGCCTGTGAGGGCCATCACCGGCAACTGTGGAGCACCTACACCGGTGCCTCCGAGGGCCATACATTGCCATATCTGAGGGCCCCGCACTAGTGCCTCTTAAGGCCCTATATCGGCGGCTCTGAGGGCCCAACACCGTCGCTTCTGAAGGCCCCACAAGCAGGGATGCGGAGCAGGAGCCGGAGCTGGAGCCGGAGCCGCCGGAGCCGGTATATTTTGCCCGGAGCCGGAGCCGTGAAACAACACAGCCCGGAGCCGGAGCCGGAGCCGGAGCCGGAGCCGGAGCCGTCAAAAAAGGGGCGACTCCGGCTCCGAGGGAAAAAAATATTGACCTAACTCGGTTTGACAGTACAAAGCAGTAAAACATGTGGTATTCCAAATATCCTTGTTATGCAAATACAGAAACAACGTGTGCCAATCCAATCGCCTTTTTTCTTCCACCCGTATTTAACCCGGCGGCCGCTGGGCCTCCGCGCCACCCGCCGGCCGCTGGGGGGGGGGGGGGGCATAAAGTTGCCCCCCCCTTTACTTCTGCGACGATATCGTCGCAACGCGAAGAGATAGAGAAGCGAAACTTTGCATACATCTTCCTGAATACCTAGCCGAGGTTGTGTCCAAATTTGGTGTCGATCCCATTTGAAATGACGTCACAGTGACGTCATAAGTGAAATTATAGATTTGCGACTCTCATATTCCTCACAATACATCACATATATGGGACCGAATATAAAGGGCCGATTATTGGTCAGAAACTAGATGGAAGTGTAGTAAGATGTTTTAGGATGACAGCAGGTGCTGTCTAGTTCATTTACAGTCGAGTTTCATGCTCAGCGTCATCAGAAACGGTCCATATCGGAAAACGACAAAACTTTATTACGTCACTGTGACGTCATCCTAGGTGCTACAACCACCAAACTTTCTTCAAACATTGCCTAGGTATTCATTTGAAGCTATGCCAAGTTTCACGTTCGTAGCTCATCAGGTTTCGGAGATATTTCACAAAACGTAAAGGGGGGGCAACTTTATGCCCCCCCCCAGCGGCTCGTGGGTTAATTAATCGCATAGGGAATGTACTGAGTAGGAGCCGGAGCCGGAGCCGGAGCTGCCGGAGCCGGACCATTTTACTCGGAGCCGGAGCCGGAGCCGTATTGACATTTCACCCGGAGCCGGAGCCGGAGCTGGAGCCGATTTTTTCTCCGGAGCCGGAGCCGTCTGAAATTTCCACGGCTCCGCATCCCTGCCCACAAGTGCACATATGACGGCCACCCACCGGTGACATTTGAAGGCCCCACACCGGCGACTCTGAGGGCCCCATCGGCGTCTGAGTCCGTGCCGGTCTCTAAAGACGACCTCGCAGGGTTTCTGAAGGTACCACCGGCATCTGATGGCCCTTTGCCGGCCTCTGAGGGCCCGTCGCCGGTATCTGGAGCCCCCTGCCGGCTTGTAAAGGGTACGCGTTATCAGCTCTAAGGGTCAGACACTCGTGTACGACGGACCCACACCAGAGTCTCTGCAGTCTGCAAATTAACGTCTTTTTTCGCCCTTCTTCTTAAGACTAACTTTTCTTTTCTTTACATTTTTATTTCATGCATTGTAAATTGCGTAATTGTTTTATTTTTAGTAGTGAAAGACTGCGGAACCAATTATTTTCCTCAAGCAGAGTTAGTGGGAGTTATTGAGGGACAAAATAATTGGGGGTGCTGACTGGAACATTTGGGGGTGCCCAGAAAACCATTGGGGGTGCTCATTTGAGCATTGGGGGTGCTGCAGCACCCCCAAAAGTATACAAATCGACACCCATGCTGCTACGTGATCAGCTGTTTATGGCAGCAGGGTATGTTTTATTTAAAGACCAGTCATGCATCCTAGTTTCGTTTCCGCTGTCGTGCCGTCCGTGAGCACGCTTTTCACCTCAAATTTTGTGTCGTCTGTTCGTTACTGATGTGGCCTCTCTCGTTCGGACCCGGTTGATCTGTATGACCCACTCTCCCCGTCACCCTGTCTGTCCCCGCCCTCCTGGTCGCCGGTATGATCTCCCGTGTCCCGGCCGGCAGACGTACCAGCGCGGCTCCAAGGTGACCTTCTCGTGCCAGCACGGCCCCGAGGAGTGCTGGGCCAACAAGCTGCACGCGTGCGGTATTCGTCAGGCGGCCAACCAGACTGTGTCGGTGCAGTTCGTCACCTGCCTGATGAGGCACTACCGCCGGCTGAGACTGCGTGCCCAGCAGGTCGGTGGCGCCGGACCAATCTTTGCAGATCCTTTTCAAGTCCAGTCTGGTTATTTATTTGTCGAGGAATGACGTGCAGAGGTGGTTACTCCTCGTAGTTTTTTTTATTCATTTGTGGGTAAAGTCTAAGAAAATCGTTAAAGTGGCATAGTTTTGGATTTTTATGGTGTGTGATCGGTAAATTGTCAACTGGTGGGCTACTGTAGCCCGCCAGCTAACAGTTGTATTTCATGCATGATGTATGTTTTTTTTCATAGTCACACGTTTGAACTGCTTTAATTTGCGGCAATCTAGTTTTTTATGCCATTCCCGGCATTGTTGATGTTATTGATGTTATTCCTGCTGGACTGTTGCCACGATTTTGTGCCAGTCATATCAAGGCTATATCCTAACATGTCAGCTGCTCACAAGCACCGCGTTATAGTGAGTCACATATTGGGGCAAACCCCACTGGGCCACCGGCCCTACCGCCCCGCGCTGTGCTCTTCCATTCGACCCGCTCTCCCTGTACGCACCTCCCGCTCCTCCCGGTACTGTCCGGTGACCGGCTCTGACCGGTCGCTCCCTCCGCCAGTGCGCCGAGGACAGCCGCCTGCCGTGGGTGCAGCTGTCAGCCTGCGCCGCCGGCTCGGCCATCGACCCCGACATTGTGCGGTACGGGGAGATGACGCAGGCGCTGCGGCCGCCGGCACACTTCATACCTACCATCACCGTGGACCAGGTGAGAGCCGGTGACCTGTCGAATTACCGCTCCGGTGACCTGTCGAGTTACCGCTCCGGTGACCTGTCGAGTTACCGCTCCGGTGACCTGTCGAGTTACCGCTCCGGTGACCTGTCGAGTTACCGCTCCGGTGACCTGTCGAATTACCGCTCCGGTGACCTGTCGAGTTACCGCTCCGGTGACCCGTTATAGCGGCTGACGGCTCAGACTGCTCTCCGCAGAGTGGGCCTAGTCTAAGATCAGACCATTGATGATAATTGCTAGCTGCTGCTTTCTTATGGGTCGTTTTTGTGAGGTCCTTTGTCAAATCCTATGGTCCGAATTGGTATCCGTTGGCACTTCCGTGACGTGCTAAGTTAAAGTGACATCAGCAGTAATCGCTGTAAGAAAATGTTACCAGTCTATCGTGTGAGCATTGAATACCACATAACGCCGCGATGACCTTTTGCAGAGCCAAGATGGTCAAGCTGCAATGTTTGGCAACTTCTTGAGCTTCGTTTGCAAGGCTTATGAGGTAGGTCTCAGGCGTGTGAGCCGTGGGATGGATTTTCCGCTGCCAGCATATGCTTTAAGTAACCAGGGCTTGTTTTGTTGCTGCTTTATTGCGAGTGGTTGCTAACTGATTTTGATGTTTCCCATACGTATACCACGAGGTTTGCAACTAAATCACTATTAAGTCAGCCTTTATCAGGTTATTAGACATTAGTACTAAAGGAGCTACCGTTATTAGTTCATGGCTGTAATGCATAGTTCTAGAAGTATCAATTTGCAAACACTGTTGAAATTCCCTTTTCTCTAGACTTCCTTGACGTCAACTTGATATTCATCGGGATATCAATGACACTTTTTTGCAGGCACGCTCCGGTAAGAAGCCTACCGGCTGTCCGAAGTGAGTGTGTCTCTGAAGGACGGCACGGTCACAGGCTCGCAGACAGAGGCGGCAGCGTCTCAGGCAGCATTGGAGAGACAGAGGACGGTGCTTCTGGCACGGTGGGACGGAGATACTGTGCAGGAGACGGACGGTGCTTCTGACACGGTGGAGTGCAGATGCCGTGCAGACAGGGCGATCTGAAGGCCAGACGCGCCGCCGCTGCAGCCGCGGGCGGTGACCCGGCGGCGCGGTGCAGTGACCATAACTGACAACTGTGGCCACCAGGTGGGGTGTGCGAGCGAGGACGGGTGAACTGGACTTAAGGGTGACGCTGCTGAGCCCATTGGTCCACACCAGGTCCACATGAGAGGTGTGCGTGTGTGCGTGCAGTAATTGCGATAGGAGCACATATTTTGAAAGATTTATGTTATGTAGTGCACGGGCTATTTATTTTGATATGATGTATTGGGCCGATGATTTCTGACGATGTGTTGTGGTCCAATTAGTCTCAGAGGTGTCTAGGATGGTTTCCATTGGGTTCCGTCTTTCCAGCGTCAGTGAACGAATGTTTGTGCTCAGTACAAACTGTGGGGGCAGTCAGCGGCCCCAATTCGGCCGCGCAGTGGCGGCTGTCCGGTTCGTATCGGCACCACGCCTCTTGCGACGTCCAGGTTCAACTACCACAATAGCCCGGCCAGGTGCAGCTAGCGGGACCTCCAGTCGTGCTGGGCGTCCACAAACTGAGCGGGGCCGAAACCCAGCGCAGTCGGCCAGGGGACTGGCCGGCTCCTCTTACTGGTGGGTCAGTCCATGAGGGATGGGGACTGGACGCTAGTGGCTCCGCAGTGGTAGGGTTTCTTCGCTGGTGTTGTGTCCAAGCTGTTAAAGCGTGTTCACAATGGACTCGGGTTCTTTCCTCATTTCAGCACAGCCGTTCGCGTATTCACGGAGCACAATTTCCTGGGCTTGGTCCACTGGCTGTGGTGAGACTATCGTATCTTTCATCCCGCACGAGCTTTGGGACGGTCGCACAGGTCACCGTGCGCGTGTGATTGGACTCTCCGAACTGGTCAGGATGGTCGCATCTCCCCGGCGAGGTCCCGCCGGACCGTCCATGCAGGTTCAGCCCGCTCCTCAGTCGGAGCTCTCGGCGGAGGTGGCGGGCGCTGACACTGGCGAATATGTCGCTCCGGCTGTGACTCTATACTACTTCTGTAGCGTCTATGTGCGGGCGGGACCCGGTGCAGGGGTATACAGCGCGGGATGCCGTCTCGACGCTGTCGCCGGGTGCGCTGAGCGGATTGGGGATGGGTGCACGGGAGGGCGGGTGACAGCGGAGGATCGGCAGAGCTCAGCTCGCAGCACAGCTCCGGAGGCACGCTGTTATTGCACACGCTCAGCTCATTCTGTGGTTATTGGATTATTTGTCCTGTGTCGGCTCTGCGACCAATTGCTCAACAAGACCGCTCGATGTTTTCTAGAGGTTTGCGTGCCCCGGAAGCTGTGCTGCGAGCGATGGCCGCCCACCCCCGGTGTGCTTTATTACTTCTGCGTATACACGTGATCGGAATCGCATATTTAATAAAGAACCAAATGTTGACATTTCTTTTCTTTGAGGACTGTAAGATGTAAACACTCCCCAGATCCAGTTAGTACCTACACTCGGAGCGTGCAACTGGAAGATTATGCTCGAATTGATGAGTTACGAACTTCGCGGTAAAACATGCCTTGGCGCTGTAAAGCATGCCTTTGTGCTAACAGGTCGAAATCCGTGTTCAGTGGATTAGAGATGATGCTATAGTTTCCGAGCTGCCGCGCGATTAGGTGGCCAAGAGGATGCTGTTCATGCGGCAATTAGCGGTGTGCATGTATCTGCACCATTACCAGAGTTTTGTCTTTAACCAACGAATGTGGGTTTGAGGGCGGGGCAGATGTTCAGTGTTATTTTGAGGGAGCGATATGGTTAAGTAATTACTTTCCTACGTTATCGAGTTGGGGAATTTCAGACCATCACTTCGAGTAGTTAGGTCATGACTAGCAGATGGACCGCGGGTCCGTTCCCCGGTTCATCTGTCCTCGATCGGCACGTTCCACACTGATACGCGATACTCGAACATTGATACACAAACCCGGCACAATTCGACTGTATCCTATCGACCTTTGTGTGGCTACACTCCCCTAATCTACTGCAACGCTTCCACCCCTACAGCTGCAACATTGGACCATTTCCGGGCAATCAGCGTAAATTGAACCTTACACGGAGGCTACAGCCCACAGCGTGACTGAGTGACTCGAACCGTGTCCGCTCCGCCCGGTAGTAACACGGCCTGTTTTGACAAGACACTGTATTTCTTACAAAGTTGGCAATGTGAGGAAGGGGGGGGGGGCTGGATGCGGCGGTCCTCAGGAGGCAACAGAGTCTTCGGCGATGCTGGCCCGCCATAGGTTATCGGCCAGCGCCTGACGCAGCAGCCGCACCTCCTCTGAGCTCTCATCCAGGTCACCTGTCGGGAGGAGCCAGCCAGCAGATCAGGGGTCGGAGTCTGCAGGCCAGGGGGCGGGGCGGAGCCGGGGGGTCAGGGGCGGAGCCGGGGGGCAGGGAAGGACCCAGGAGGTCAAGGGGACTTACCAGTTGCAGAGGGTCGGGGAGCCCCAGGGCCAGGGCGGAGTCGGAGGGTCAGGGAAGGAGCCAGCGGGTCATGGGCGGAGCCAGCGGGTAGGGGACGGAGGCAGCAGGCCAGGGGCGGAGTCAGCAGGTCAGCGGGAGCAGTCGGCGGGTCAGGGGGCGGAGCCAGCAGGTCAGGGGCGGAGCCAGCAGGTCAAGGGGCAGAAACTAGTGACAGTTACCGATCTAAGCGCACGATGACGAAGTTTTACACCACAACACATCAGTGACCTAAACGAATTATGCCCTGGTCGTCTGTCTTTTCCCTATGGCAATCGCTCCCGAAGTGTGTGTGCACTGCGCAGGCATGTGTGTGTGTGGGGGGGGGGGGTTGCTACGGGGCAAGCAATTAGAGGCGGACGGGCGTACATAAAATGGCTGACTAATTGATTTGCACTCACGAATGTTCAGCGAAAATGGTAATTAGTCAAGGCGGATGTTTTAAAGAAATGAATGTTCCATTAGTTAGAAAAATATTATTTGGTATGATAAATGGCACACGGTCGGTTGTTAGACCGCATGCAAAACGAACGTTCCCGAGGGTAATGGCATGATCCCGAAGGCCCGAAAGCGAGCACAGGACTGACGAGGAAAGTCGGGAAGCAGTCAGCTCCATCAGAGCGCTGCAACCCACGATCACGCGAGTCATTCCCTTTCCTCACAAAGCGCTGGCTGAATTTGCTGCTTGCTGTATGGAACTACGCATTATGCAGGAAGGGGGAGGATGGAATGGTATCCATATTTTAGAGCCGCGGTGACTAGTATGACATTCATGAAAACGAATTCGTTCATGACAATTCGCAAGCTCGTTGAATGTTTGACTTTCCGGAAACAAGAAACGCACGGAATCTAAAATTCAAGCTTTTAAAAGCAAGGTCGGTTCAATCTGTTAATTGGAGGCAGCCTTTACATGGGGGAGGGTTAATATTAATTCATTTCAGCATGTGTACCCGCGCCGGAAAATTGATACACCCAAATGACCACCGGGTCATCAATGCCAGATACCATAGCCATGTGACACATGGAAAAATGGGACAACCGCACTGACGATGCCACTGCTTTATGGGAAGCTAAAAAAGGACCGGGCGAAACACCAAACAATAAAACAATACCATGCGACAAAGAGCGCAGGACAATTACTACCGCGGCCGCCGGGAATGAGGCTGACATTACAGGGCCGCTGGCGTGAGCGGCATTAAATCCAATCGGCCGCTCTTATGACAAATGGCACGCGGCGGCCAGCACGCCGGGCGGCCAGCGCGCCGCTCAAAGCCTGCACCACTATCCGTCTTGTGTCGTGTCCGATGGCCGTGCGACGCTAATGCCACCGCGGTCGGTCCGCCGGCCGGTCACTGCACCGCTTTACGTCACTGTGCCACGTGCTGCGCGGCCGACCGGACGTTGCCACAACAGAGCACAGTTCGCGATGCTACAGACCGTTCGGCTCCTTACAGCCGGCGCCGCACGTAAGCACCCCATGGACAGCACGATGTAAATGACATTTTAGCGGTGTAAGTTGAATCCATCACGCGCAAGGAACGCCGTTAGGTCGTGGCCAAACAGGCAGCGGACGTAGCCGACCGGTCCGTCCCGACGTAACCCGGCTGTTCGCGTCACAAGTCAGGCACGAACTGATGATCACCAGGTGTGGTGAGCTCGTGCCTTTCGCGTGCACAATGGATGTAAATGCCGTCGATGGCTGAAAATTGCTCAAGCGCCGGCTGTATTTTGAGTTCAGGCGCCTTCCGGATGTCAAACGTTTGTCTTTTATCATCAGAAGAGCGCGGGCAGAGTTGGTTGGTATTTGGTGGGTCCGTGGTGTCACGTTGACTCTTTTACCGTGATCTCCGGATCTTCGAATACCCGCTAAACTATGCTATTTGCTAGCTATTAATATGCACGATTTGTGTTAGCCCACCGCCTTTCTCACATTTTGAAGAGGTGGGCGTTCAGACAAAGGGCCACAGCACGAACAGCACGCTTGAAACGAACTCCACAAACGCGCATTAAAGCTGTTTAACATTAAAGGGACCCTCCCACCTTAACATTAGTTTTGAGTTGAGATAGCCAAGTTTGCGGCCAGGCTTAGAAACCACCATTTATCCTGGTCGCAACCCCCGCAGCTTTATGGTGTTCAAGAAATTTCTTCCCTTTACTTGCAGGGTGGGACCAGCGTGGTCCCTATCTCTTAACCATTACGGGAATCTGATGACGTCATCAGGCTTTCGAACGTCCGTTAAATGTTTGACTAAAACGTTTTGTAGCACGCGGTGGTATATGCTGCTTTGCGCGCAACAAATGCTGCACTTTCAAATAAAGTCGCTAGGAACAGCGGAGATCCCAAAAAGTAAACAAAAGTAAAAGTCTAATATCTTGAAAACCGGTGAATATTTTTCGATGAAATTTGGTAGATATTCGTTTTTGCTCTTTCTGAACCGAGCGACATCACTTTCATGCCAATTCATTAACTTTTTTGAAGGTGGGAGGGTCCCTTTAAATGAAATGTCCGCTTAGCTGTTTGTTATACCTACTGCAAGTTTCGCGAATGCGATAGCTCCATTCCGATAGAGAGCTGTCATATCATGAAATAAACATGTTTTCAATGGATATGACCCCCATTTCACACAGGCCATCAGACCTGTTGCATTTGTAACAACGCCCTCGAAACGACATTTTCGCAGTATGATATGCAGTATCATGTTATATAGCATAAGTTGCGTGCTATATTCCGTGCAGTTTCTCCACATTTGGGTACATGTTGTATGCTGTATAACAGCACAGTACTGGCTGTAAAATAGGATGGGGATTGGGGGGACTGGTAAACTAATGACTATTAACATTGCAGCTCCGTAGGGGAAAGTGGGGTAAGACGGTCAGAGTAGGTAAGACGGGCACCCCTTCTGCAGACCAAACCAATAGCGCTACGAGCGAATAAAATTAGGACCAGAATTGCCTTTTCCACTACACACCACCACTGAAGTCTAGTGAATTTGTGTTCAGTCGATAATCTTTTATTTTTATTTCTTCAAAACACTCATTTCATTGAAAACATCCATAATGCATTGTGCAAGCTTTTGTGTGCAGCACTATAGAGTTAAAAACTCGCAATCACTTGTGGCATTCGTTCGTTCATTGGGGTTTACGGGCGCGTCGACTGCGGTGGTCATTTTGCGCCCATAACGCTGTACTGGTAAAGCGGATGTCAACAGAGAACTGACGAGCTGAAGAAGACTAGAACTGCTTGAGATACGTTATACTAGTAAAACGAGTATATCACAGGAAAACTGATGGATTGAAAGTACCTAAGAAAAGATGCTGCCGGATAAAACCCAGGGTGAGTCATCATCCAACAGGTGGCGAATGGTGGTGCCTGGGGCAATGCGGCCGAGGCAGCGTGTCCGGTTTGGTTCGAGGTGCGGGCAACTTAAGAGAATGTGACTGTGAGCGGCACGGCACAATGGCTACATGTTGGTTGATCATCTCCACGGAGGAGATAGCCATGCGTTGCATACGTATGCCCTACCCGTAGTCTGCAGAGGACCACTTAATGGTGTCTTTTGCCTTGAAAGCAGGACTGCCAGGGCTCCAGAGAAGGTTTCACCTTTCGCAGCTTCTCGGATCCATGGAGACGCCACTCTGTCTGCCAGCTAAACGTCGTAAAAGATCGAACGGCTGGGTAAAAATCGCGAGCCGGCAGAGGCAAACGACGGAGGCAGGGGGCCGCGGCCGCGCGTCTTGCGGCCGCGTCGGCAAGCTCGTTGCCTCTTATGCCCACATGGCTCGGTATCCAGCAGAACTGGATGAATTTACCTGCTCGTTCCACCGACGTAAGACGAGATAAAATGTCTTGTACATACTATCGGGTTGTCTGGATTGAAACTCCGTTAAGATAGGAGGCTGCTAAGGGAGTCTGACAAGATCAGATAGCAGGAG